ACTGCATAGTGACTTCTGAGTGGCCTACGTTATTTGAATACAGACCAACACAGTCAAACTAGCGATAAATATCAGCCTTCTTAGATGCAACTATCAAGACAGCTTCTGTATTTGCCCTCTCTAACCTTACATTGCAGCCCATCTGTTATCATCTAAATAGTCTTCTCTTCTCAGATATTTTACTTTAATTGAGTCTGACTGGTTACAAAGATTTGTGTCAGCTAATGAACTGTTGGCTTTTTTTTCTTCCCCTGCAAACTGACCAGAGGAGCACAGTTTCTGAAGTCTTCAGTCTGCCAACATATTCCCAGTTGCTACACTTGAGAACAGGTCTGAACTAAACACAGATTTTAGTATAGCAATATTATTACCCTTGAGGCCTCTCCCCACTTTTTTCTTCTCAGCAGGGAAATGCCATTAATGACGTCATTAATGACAGTAATCTCACCTGACTCCAGTCCCTTCTCCACCCCCTCCACCCCCAATAACAGCAATTTTTCTTTCCCTGGTCAGTCATGCAGATGTTTTCCAATGCCCTTGACTGGAAAAACAAGCCATTTGATGGCAATACTTGTAGGCTGCCTAACACTTCTGGAATCTTGTTTTTTATTATACAATTATCCTACTTTGCAGATGAAGACTATATCCCAAAGTAGCTCACAACAATTTAAAGATAACTACAAATAACAATTTAAAAGCGGTATTGATGTGGGGGTGATGTACATAAATCAAAATATGGTGTAAACCCTGCCCTAAAGGCTTACAATCCCAAAGAATATTGAAGGGGGAAAGAGAGAAGGTGCGACGAAGACTAGGGAAATCAGTTTTGACAATGGCAGAATAAAGGGATGAGTAGCTAACAGGTATTTTTTTCCAGTTGGGACTAGGGCTGGAGATATCTGGCTTTCAACATCACAATATATCAGCAGCTAAACATCATGATATACCAACATATCATGCTGTCTGAAATAGGGATGGAACAGTGTAGAGGCAAACATTAAGACTGGATGATACCTGGTTTTCTACATTGCGATATACCACCAGCTAAACATCTTGATACTTCATAATGTCTGAAATAAGGATGGAGCTATGTAGAGGAACTGGCTGGCTTCACAGTTTTCCCCACACTGTAATACTTGCTTAGCACACCAACGCACGCACAAAACATGATATGGACTTCAAACCAGTTTTGAACGATCTATCGCCCAGCCCTGGCACACATCATGATTTGTGATATACTGCTGGGTCAAAAATTATGGAACCAATTTCACGATGGCAGCTTCAAACTGGTTTTGCACGATATTATCACCCATCCCTAATTGAGTCCCGATTACTGGTACAGTGGACCCTCTGGATACAAACTTAAATCGTTCCGGGGGTCCGTACGTACCCTGAAAAGTCTGCAACATGAGGCGCCACTTCTGCGCACGTGTGCGCGGCAAAACCCGGAAGTATACACTTCCGGATTTGCTGTGTTCGCAACCTGAAAGTTACGGTAACCGAAGGTAACGTAACCCAAGGGCCCACTGTATTCTTGCTAGGATGGAGGTTCTTGTAATTAGACAATGGTAACAGAGGCCATAAGTGGCCTTCCCTTGAACAGTACAGTTTGGGATTGCCTTATCAAACAGCAGCTTGCCTTTTTTATTGGAGTACCCGTTCTGGAAGCGCCACACAAGAAGCGCCTCATGCGCTCAAAGTGCACATAGCAGAGATATGGCTTGGGTGGGGGGACTACACTAGAGCAGCCCGTATTATGATTTTAAGAACTCCATGCAAAATAAAACTGCATCTCTTTTATATGCCACACTGTTCTCATTACGCCTGCCGTTAATACCAGCTCCTCTTTATCTTCCTCTTTTTACAAGGAATTACTGCAGCTGCTCAAACTGCATTTTGTATATGGCTGCCATATGTGCAGCTCAGACCTCCTACAAACTGGTTGTGATCACTGCACAACTGATCCCGGCTGATGACTCAACCCCATCCAACACAATTTCTGTCTCTCATAAACATCGCAAAAGGTGCCATGTTCAGGTATAAATCACGCTTGAGCCTCAGGAGTGCATCACTGCTATTCGGATCATCCTTGTACCTATCCTGTTGTCTGGATGAAAGTTACCAATTTCACTGTTTAGTATTTAACTGTGTGAATGCAAGCAACTGATACATCTGGTGAATACATCAGGGACGAGAAGCAAGGGCCATTAACCTAATTATTTCAAGGTTTCAGAACAACATCTCTGATGAGGTCCAAAAGCTGTTCTGGAGGTTTTCTTAAAGGATGCAAAGCCTAGCTCTTCCAAAAGCCTTAGAGCTGTTGAGTGAGCATGTCTAGACCTGTGGGACTGTTGACACAGAGTACACTATTTTTAGTGGTTTCTTGATGGAGAGACTGGTTGGGGTTTTTTACATAGTTTTGCTGCCACTGTTGTACGGTTTACTTTGCTGGAAGCCGCACTGAGCCTTAGAGAAGAGAAATTCCAGTTTTTTAAATAAATTACAGTCAAATCTCATTTTGTGGACAGGATCCATTCCGGAGGCCCATCCGCAAGCTGAAAATGACACACGTCGAAGTCCCATGTCTGCGCACACATGCAGCACGATTTAGCGCTTCTGCGCATGCGGCGAACCTGGAAGTAACCCTTTCCGGTACTTCCGGGTTTGCCACAGACATTCGCCGAAGTAGATGCAAGCGGAGGTGGACGCAGAACAAAATTTGACAGTAATAACAAAGCAACTACAACCAGTGTATGTCTCTCTGTCCCATATGTTTGACTGTTATGTCACTAAAGCCTGGCTTATCCTCCAATGTAAATGCACTATTTGAAGTGTAAAACTATGCATAACACTTCAGACACCTGGGCTTGGTGCAGATTCAATGCTTGCTCCCTAGAAACCATGATTTGCACATTAAGAGTCAGCCAGAAGTGTGCCCCAAACACTAACATGTAAACGAGACCGTTAGAACCCATTGCTAAATGTACTAAGGATCTATGAAATTAACAGAATTTACTTGCAATTGTGTCTTGGATTGAAGCATAAGCAATTTTTCATTACATAGCATTATACCACCAGGTAATTTTTGTCACAAAGGAAAAACCACCAAACAGCCACATCTATTGAATTTCCCATATTTAGAAGGCTCAGCTTAATATATTCAGCTTAATATTCCTATATTAAATCAGGATCTGATTCTTTCCTTTCTTAGAAGCCCACAACAATTTTCAGGGATTTATCAGTGTTAAGACGTTATTAATATTACTCAAGAAGCTTTCCAATATGCTAGACATCAACAAGTGAAACCTTTATTATCCTGTTTCCCTATTCTCTGCAGCTTTGAAGGCTGAGTAGTCATCTTGCTAATGCCACGCAAATGTCCCAGATTTGCAGATGCACAAACGGAATGGATAATAACTGGCGGAGTTTCCTAGACTATACACCCCTTCCCATAAGCAGAGGCAGGGACTCTGGATCAGGCAATTTCAATAAATAAAAATCTTCTCAGCTGAGCACATCCGAGTAGTACCAAAAGCAGGCAGACGGAATATCATTCTTGCGAGCATGGAGGCACATTATAAAATACCACACTGCTGCCCTCCAGACCTTTAACAAGGCGCACTTCTTAATTCAGTGGGGGTCAGAAGTTTAGTTTACTCAGCAAGAATAACACTATTAAAAGCTACTGCTCTTTCATGTCACCACAATTCACACTCGTACATTCCAACTCTGGCTAATGCAGGTCAGTGAAAAGAACACGAAGGGAGAGAGTCGGGCACCTCAGCCTGCATACTTTAAAACAGAATTTATATGTGCTTTGAAAACAATCTAAAAGGATCAATCTAGATTACGAATCTGATGAAAGCGTGTGCAGCAAAAGAGATGGATGGACGAGAGCATATAAAAGCAAGCAAGTCAGAATCTTTCTATTGATTTCCAGGCAGACAGTGTAAAGCACTCTGCTGGTGCCTTATATATCATTGCACAGAATGAACTACTGTTGCGCATACAACTGAAGCATGTTAGGATTTATCATCAGCTGATGTGCTGTAGGACACTTTTGAAATGGAATTTCTTGCTTCCAATAGAGCGGCTATTAAATCACTAGTAATTAAACACTGCTCAAGCAAACATGAGAAAACATCTGCAACAGCACCCATTCCAACAGTTCTGATTAGATATAATATCCTACGTCAAAACCAGCAATTAGGCCGGCATGTACAATAATTCCATCATTGATAACAGTAAATTCAGGCAATAAGAGATTATCTTACGGAATTTATAATGGAAAAAATCTGCGCCCATGACAAAGAAAAGCTTTTTCTGATGCCTTAATTTTAACAAGTCATCACACTTCCAATTCTTTTCCTGACCAAAGTTTCATCTCTTAATTATTTTCAATAAATGCCTGCTTATTCATCAAGCAACAGGTTGCCTTATTTTAATTAATGTGCCTTATACATGAAACCTCCATGTTCTCTCAGAAACTTCCAGTTCAAAAAGCAAATTCTCCTAACTGTTAACGTCACCAGAAAATGTATTCATGCAGCACAAATCTTTTTTCTTTACAATAAAAAATTAAAACGAATGCTCAGGAAATCTCCTCACATTAAATACAGATTGCCTGTACAGGGTATTGCATAGAATGTTTTAAAATATAGAAGTGTGAGTTTCAGATATACTTCTAAAATTATATCACTTTTAAAAACACTTCCTCCTGCACCATTATCCCGTTACACTGTAAACCATTTTATTTTTAAACAAAGACATTCAATATCTAAAAATACATTCCATCTTATCCTAAAGGTTTATCAAGCCACTCGGTACAATCATGTATCAAGAGTTTATTTTATTTAAAATGTAGCTGGTTTCACTGGAAGAGATATGATGGGAATTTCCTCTAGTTCTAACAACAAACAGTACTGTATAATATGACTGCTAACAAACTTGTGAAGCAGATGCAACGTTCAGACAAAATGGGAAGAGAAACCACAGCTTACCTTCCTCGGTTTCATGCCATACAATCCCTTCCAAATTCACACTGGTCCCAGGTTCACATGGTCCAAGGCATTCAGGTTCCGTTACTATTCCAACATCGCAAGTATTCACACCCACTGAACGAGTCCGTACCAAAAGTTGCTCAACTGGAGCAGCAATGTTGGAGGAAGATGGGGAAAAGTAGGAAGGCAGAATCTGAGGTGTAAGACTACTGGAGATAGGAGGCGGAGGTGCAGGCACTGTAAAGAGGGGGTCAACCTAAAAACAAAAACAAAGACACAGTCTGTCATATGCTGAAGGTATTAGGAAAGATTGTGTTTATACACACATTGAGTTTTGAATACAGCAATTCCACACATTATGAAGCAGTACCCAAAAAGTCACATGATATCAAGATGCGCCAATCAAAACATATTTCGATATCCTCTTCAAATAACTATGGTCACTTAGGAATTTTTGTCTTCAAACTCTGTCAGTGTGACCACTGAGTGACTCACCGAATTATTACCTTTTAGACCAGAGCTTGCCAAACTGTCTGTTGCGACACATTATTGTCTTGGCTGCAGTGTGTAGGTGTATCACACAAACGCTCCCTGTGCTCTTTCCAAGGCCGGAAAGGGGTTCCCTTTAACTTCCGGTTTGCTAAACTCAGTAAAACTGAATTACTGCAAAACCGAATTACTGCATTGCGGAAATGAGGCATGTCTAAAAAGTGTGTCACCAACAGGAAAAGTTTGGAAAGCTCCTTATTAGACATTCTGATCGCTTGCTTTAATATTTGCTCCCAGGCTTTTCAGATGCCTAGGATCACAAACCAACTAAGACATCAACAGTAATTTGAGGTAGCATCTTATTTAGAAATGACTTTTTATCATTTATTCTCTAATATGGGGTCCATTCTACTATGACTATGAAAAATAAGTTGAGCCATCTTAGAAATTGTCTAAGTTAGTGTGGCATGAAATCATCAGACGCATGAAATAAAATGAAACGGCCACTGGTTGTGTGGAGACAGGAATCTTATGCACACTGGAAGTGCAGGGTGGATAAGGGTGACAGCACTAACCCCACCTAGGTAAAGGGACCCCTGACCATTAGGTCCAGTCGTGGCTGACTCTGGGGTTGCGGCGCTCATCTCGCTTTGTTGGCCGAGGGAGCTGGCGTACAGCTTCCAGGTCATGTGGCCAGCAGGACTAAGCCGCTTCTGGTGAACCAGAGCAGCGCACGGAAATGGCGTTTACCTTCCCGCTGAAGCGGTACCTATATATCTACGTGCTTTCAAACTGCTAGGTTGGCAGGAGCAGGGACCGAGCAACGGGAGCTCACCCCGTCACGGGGAATCGAACCGCCGACCTTCTGATTGGCAAGTCCTAGGCTCTGTGGTTTAACCCACAGCGCCACTTGCATCCCCAACCCCACCTAAGTAATCCCAAAGTCTTTGTGTGACAGGTAAGACTGGAGAATTGGACGAAGAAGAACTATATTCTTTCCCTTCCTTCAGAGTATCTTTCCTTGGATAAACTAGCAGCTGAAAATACAATAGCATAATGCATGGGTAGGCAAACTAAGACCCGGGGCCTGGATCTGGCCCAATCGCCTTCTAAATCCGGCCTGCGGGCGGTCCGGGAATCAGCATGTTTTTACATGAATAGAATGTGTTCTTTTATTTAAAATGCATCTCTGGGTTATTTGTGGGGCATAGGAATTCGTTCATATTTTTTTTCAAAATATAGTTCGGCCCCCCACAAGGTCTGAGGGACAGTAGACTGGCCCCCTGCTGAAAAAGTTTGCTGACCACTGGCATAATGTAACCTGTATACAGTCAAACCTCGGTTGTCAAACGTAATCTGTTCTGGAAGTCCGTTCAACTTCCGAAACGTACAACAACCGAGGCGTGGCTTCTGGTTGTTTACAAGAGCTTCTTGCACTCAAGCAGAAGCTGCGTCGGACATTCGGGTTCCGAAAAACATTTAAAAACCGGAGCATTTACTTCCGGGTTTTCAGTGTTCGGGAGCTGAAATGTACGATAACGGAGGCATTCGGGATCTGAGGTTTGAGTGTACTCTAAACAAACATAGTACACAGACAAATGGGATGCAATTTACGTTTCCTACTGAGACCTACCGATAATCTTTATTTAAAAGCTGGAAGGCAAACTTATTCTATGCTGGTTAAAACTTGACGGCTGAATCTCTAGGTTTGGCAACTACCTGACCCAAAAAAAGGGAGGGATGAAATAAAGCACAGCAGAGTACAGAAGCTCTGTACTTCTGTTATGTGTTTATCCTGCTGCCATCAGACTTTTAAGATGTTGGCAGCGTTAAAAGAAAGGGTGCGGGGGGGAGGGAAAGCTTTTCAACAAGAAATCAAGCATGCAGGCGAGTGAAAACCAACTGACCTCAAAAACAGCTGTTCCTTGCAAACTAGTCATTGGATAAGTAAGGATGAAAAAAACCCAATATTTATCTTTGAACTGCATTCAAGACACAGGACCAAAGTTTGCACTACATGAGTTTTGGCTGCCGCACAGACTTCTCATAACAGAGGCCCTCCAGCCTTCTTTTCAGGCTTTCGGAGTAATGCAAATGCACTTGGTTCCTGTGTTTTCCCCAGCATTTATCCAGATGTGGAGCAGCACAGTGTCGGCTCAAGCTATACCCCCTCATAGATAGATAGAACCCTGTGAAATTATTTTAAAATGCTCCAAATCGGTGGGTTGTTTTTTTAAGAGATCCAGTAGGGGGTAGTTGGTCAACAAGTGAGTTCAAGGTTCTGTTGGACCACGAGGATTTGGAGAGACCTCTCAGTCAAATGGTTCCCTGGGTGACCTTGGACCAGCCCACCTCACGAGGATGCTGGGAGGATAAAATGGCGGAACCACATATGCTCCTCTAAGTTTCTTGGAGAAGAACAGGTTACTAACATTAAAACTGACAGGTTCCGCCTTGCAATATGCAGAGATGGCAAAACTGACGGCACTGATAAAAGACACAAATTTAGAATCTTTTAAAGAAGACTGGGAGGAGGAGGAAAAAATAGTGGGGTATAAATGCTGTAAATAAATAAACACTGTGTTTATTAATAAATGTTAAGACACTTCAAGATGGTGTCCTAGTCACAAAACATTTTGCTCTTCAAAACCAAACAGGACTGTTTCAACCGCGTTACTGTAAGAGACACTGACAAAGAGACAGGCGATGTTTAGCTTTCTGTGCTGCCTGAAGGAGTTCGATGTTGCTACAGAGATTAAATGCTCTTATACAAAAGAAGGCGGCGTAACAGAAGAATTGTGAGGGATGGCGACAAATGCACAAAGTATAACAAGCCAGTCTTGATTGAGGCCTCTGGATTAGAAAATAAAAGAAGCTCTGCAAAATGACAAGACACCAGACACTTGGTCATTCTAGAGAAATGTGTCTATGTAAAACTACAAGTTTCCACATGTGGATTGATTCCCCTGTAGCGGGGAACTCTGCATTCAGGTTTCAGGCTTCATATTGCAGTGCCAGAGTTTGGAGAAGCAGACCTAATAGGTGGTCACTGATTCTAGATTTGACAGCACTGCCCATATCTTATCAAAATATGTGAATTTATGTTCCCAAAGCACAGTGCCGCTAACACAATATTTTGATAATATTTTTTTTTGGGGGGGGGAGAGTTATGATGCACTTATGGTCTCCTGGGTAAAGACCACAAGACAGAATCCCGAATGTGTCATGCATACTTAAATTTCTCTAAATTGTACCCATGAGCAGAAGTAGCATCCAGCATTGAAGAATTAGTCTACTTCTTCTAAATATCTTAAAACTTTGTGACATGGTCTACTTTCTCAAAACATTAAGAATCCTTGGAATTCTAGGTTGGAATAGTTGCTGCAGTGAGCATCCTATTTGTTTATGAATCCTCTGTGCTTATACTGACTTATAAATAAAGAGAATGTGGCTTGAATAAATGGCCTCAGCCCAGTATACCTGAAGGAGCATCTCCACCCCCATCGCTCAGCCCAGACATCGAGGTCCAACTCCGAGGGTCTTCTGCTGGTTCCCTCACTGTGAGAAATGAAGTTACAGGGAACCAGGCAGAGGGCCTTCTCGGTAGTGGCGCCCGCCCTGTGGAACACCCTCCCTTCAGATTTCAAGAATTACGCGATTTTTAGGAGACATCTGAAAGCAGTCCTGTATCAGGAGGTTTTCAATGCTTAATGTTTTTATTATGTTTTTGGATGTGCTGTAAGCCGCCCCGTGTGGCTGGGGAAACTCAGCCAGATGGGCAGGGATGAAGAAGAAGAAGAAGAAGAAGAAGAAGAAGAAGAAGAAGAAGAAGAAGAAGAAGAAGATCATCTATATATGAGAGACATTAACCCGCTGCAACAGCGTTTCATGGGAACATCAAATCCCTTCCAGCCTTAAAATGCTATGGCACTAAAGGAAAGAGAGCGAGGCAGGTACAGAGCAGTAAAGCTAAACAGGAAATATGGCTCAGTGGATTTTTGATGTCTAACATACACATTCAAATGCGCAGACACAACACATGTTACAGACCTTCCTAAACGGTAGCAGCTCAGACGACAAAAGAGGGATCAGATCTGAGTAATCTCAAGGTAGCCAAAAACAAGACCCCCTTGAGCATGAAAAGCTAGCATGTCAGGAGAAATGCCCTGGGGTGGGTGGGGAGGAAGCCAGTGTGCCCACACCAGAAGTCATAAGGAATACGCCGTCTACCATGTGCTACTTTTACACATTTGCAAGGGGAACCATTTCCTGAGTCAGAAGTAAATGGTGCATCCCCAAGTTTCAGACAAAAAACTGCCTCCTAATTTCAAACGCCGCTCAGAACGTTGCTATTATCGCTGCTTCTTCAAAGATCACAGTGTCCGCAAACCCAATATTTTGTTTTACAGTGGTACCTCGGGTTACATACGCTGCAGGTTACATACGCTGCAGGTTACAGACTCCGCTAACCCAGAAATAGTGCTTCAGGTTAAGAACTTTGCTTCAGGATGAGAACAGAAATCGTGCTCTGGCGGCGCGGCGGCAGCAGGAGGCCCCATTAGCTAAAGTGGTGCTTCAGGTTAAGAACAGTTTCAGGTTAAGAACGGACCTCCGGAACGAATTAAGTACTTAACCCGAGGTACCACTGTATTTGGTTGAAAGTCCCCCAAAGAACTCGCGAGGCAACGTACGAGGGCTGAGAAGGCAGCCATCTCAAATGGGGGATGGGGAAGGGGAAAGGTACACAAGTCTAACATCTGCTGGTGG